TTCAGCATTTTGTGGCCATACTCGGTCATGTTCATGTGTAGAACCTACTTGACTAGCTCTAATTCACAGAAAATTTCGGATTACCAAATGAGCTACAACTATCAGACTTTGACTGTTTAGAAAAAAAATATATTTTTTTTATTTTGCTTTTTATAGCAACATCGACAATATGATGACGCACAACGTAATCGTATTCGTCATGATGATGTTCTTTCACAAGAATTCGATCGTTTATATAAAGACGTTATAACACGTAAATTTCGCCAAGAAGCCGATCATAAAGGAAAAGTTTTACGAGATCGTGAAGAAAAACGTGTTAATCTTATACATGATATTGAAAAACGACGAACAGAATGGTCAAATCCGAGTATATTCTCATAAAAAAAATTTCGTCTTTTTTTCTTCTCTTTTTTGTTTTCTATATAAACAGATAAATGTCTTTTGTCTTTCTATCCTGTATTTTTTTATATGTAGTGGGATCATAGTATCTTATTTCTTTTTCATTTTTGTTTTTGTTTCTGTTATTGTGAAATACAAGAAGTTTACTATTCGAATAAGGAACAAACAATGAAATAAATTTAACAAAAAAAAAGAAGAAGAGAAAACGAAAAAATGGCACAATATAAAAGAGTTAGTTATTGACCATAAACTGGATATTGTTGATAAGATATAAATTGTGATTGGGATAGATTATTATTATCAAGAAGATTTGTACTATTTGGATATTGAGCAAGTGCAACATAGCATTTCATAAATAAAGCTTTTATACGACAAGCTGATCGATGATCAGTACCGGTTATACGATAAATTTCTTGTTGAAGTATATTAACAAGTTTATCAAATTTACTATTATTGGTTGATTTATCTTCATCATTTTCTGTCATTGTTATAAAAGCATAAAAGAGAAAAAGTAATACAGCAAATATATCATTTAATGAAGCATTAGCAATAATTTGTGATGAATGATTATATTGATTTCTCCATATACGAATAGCATTCATATAAAGTGAATGATAATCAAAATTAATTGGAATTATTGATGGTAAATCAATTAAACGAAGAATATTTTCTAATGCTGATGATGTTGATAATTGATCATAAGTAAGATCATGACCAAGTTGTTCAAGAAGATCAGTAATTGGTATTGAAGGCATTTTATAAGAAGTTTTTGTTGTTGTTGATGTTCGTGGTGCACGATCTTTTGGCATAGCTGTCATTCCTACTCGATCACATTTAGCTTTACGACATGCCCGACAATCTTTTCGATTCGATTTGGTTATATTTGGTAATGGAACTTCACAAGAATGTTTTATTTCGATGCGTGGATCTATTTATTAAAGAAAATGAACTTTATGGGTTATGTCAAACATTATTGTCCTTCGAGAATAAGAGAACTTTCTTTAATACTATATATATAAGCAGTAATTAAGTAATTATAATTGATGGCTGAACTTTTCTTAAATTACTGTGCTACAATGATTCTTACTAAAAAGTATGAATCGAACTATTGAGTAGTTTCTCTAGTATATAACACTTTTAATTTATCGTCGTCTTGATATATGGAGATACATGCATGTTTAGTTTTTTGTTTTCCATTATTCCTTTTATAATGGTACATCATCAAGTTAAGTGTTTTTATATAAAATAATAAGGATGCATCCAGAGAACATTTTCAACTGATCAATTACTTTTGAATTCGAACTCTGTGCATAACGTAGATTTCGGTGAGTGGGACTTTAGTATTTCGAAAAGAAAATAATCTTTTGAGGTGAAATTTTTTACAACATTTTACTGACAAATCAGTCTGTCTATGGGCAAACCTAATGTTCAAATACCGTTATTCAATATGTTGATACAAACCAAGTCAGAAGCTAAAATTCTAGTCAAATGTCTATAATTTCAGATAGAAGGTCTAAGGGGATTTATCCTTTGAAAATTTTTCATATCTTACTGCAGTCTATCTTAGTAATAGACTCTGAGTTAAAAAGCAATTTATGAGTTGAAAACGTTTCCTCGTAAGTTCAAGATATCCTGTTACCAGTATATCACAGAATCTTTGTTGGCGCACTCTGTTGAGAGTTGTCCCACAAGGAGACATCCCTAAGTGTGAATCGCCGAGACTAAAAGAAACCTTAAAGGATTCGATTCCATACGAAATCATTCAGAAATTAGACCTTTGATCATGTATTAACTGAAAAATTGCCTACAGATAGGTTTTTGCAAGCAGTAAACTGTTCGAAAACTTTCAGCCAAAATGGATGATAACTTCTAGAGATATGAAAGGCTGAAAAAGACTTGATCTTGCTTATCTCTCCATTTTATATCTCTAGAAGGAACTATCCATTTTGACTGAAAGTTTTCTGATAGTGTACTGATGTGAAACCTAGTATTCATAGATATAGTTTTAGGTCCGTATTTATTCATTCGATTTTCCAGCTAATATTGCACCAACAGTCGAAAAGTCAATAAAATAGCTATAAATTGAGAAGGGCTATGTATTTACTGAACTCAATACATTCACTAGGGAAATATAAAACAAAATGTTCGAAGAATCGGTCTATATGCTTGGATTAAGAAATATAATATGTATTTCACTGACCACTTAAGAATATATCAATTGATTTTTCAACAATGAAAAACAATTGCAAGATTGAAATCATAGAGAAATAGAAAAAATTATTCTGTTTTTTTAATTCCTCCTTACCTTTCGTAACTCGTCGATAGAATGCTTTGCACGATTCACATGTATATGCACCAAAATGGTAGCCGGACGATTCTTCATGACATACGAGACATGGTTGTTTGCTAGCACTAGTACTACTATTGCTAGAATTCGATGCTGATGTGACTAGAAAACGGACATCTCCTTTCTCTCACTTTTATTTTTTTTTGTAAAAGGCAAAAGAGAAAAAAAAAGACAGGTTGGCATCCATTTCTGGATGATGATGTAGAACGCGACGAATTCGTATACATACCATCATGACTACGCATTTTGATCATAGCAGAGTCCCATTGTGATGTTGTCGATTGATAATCAGGTTGAATATCAATAGATGATGAAATATATGATGATACAGGTGGAACAGTAACATTTGTATTCGTATACATGGGATGAAGCTGTTGATATGAATCTGTTGTTGTTGTTGTTGTTGAAATATATGCCGACGATGAATAATCCATTGATGTTGAATTATATGTTGTTTGAGTTGTATATGGATCAATTGAATAATTATTTGTAAACATATGAGAATATGGATCGATCAAGTAAGATGAAGAAACATCAGGTAATGATTGATAATCATAATTATTATTATCAATTGTATGATATTGACTAGGATTTGATGAATTATTAAAATCAAAAGATGATGATGGAAAATAAAATGATTGATTTAATGTATTACTATTTGATGAAGAAGTTTGCCATATATCACTTGTTGTTATCATATTACTATTAGATATTGTTGTTTTAAAAAAACTAAACAAGATTGATTTGTTTATTTGAGTAAAAAAACTTTTCTTCTCTACCTGTCCTGTGATGATGGATATGTTTGATAAAAATTCATATTTTCTTTCGTTTCTAAACCATTACTACTTTCAATTTCTGTTGATTCATCAACAAAATCGTATTGCATCATCCTCTTTTAAGGCTTACTAATCTATAAAAGATAAATAGAAAGCAAGAAAAAAAAAACTACACAAAAAAAAAAGACGAAATCGACTCATTTATTTTCCAATCATAAATATAATGATCATTATAATGGATGATATATATGGTCAACTATTCGTTTTTTCTTTCTATTTTAATTATATGAACTGATGAATATATGTATCTATCTATATTATCCACCCATTTCCAATGATGCACATGCTCTCATAAAGCGCACTTTAAGTTGATCATGGGTGTCATATGTTTTTGAGATGTGATATATACATACATATTACTCTCTACTGCTTATATTGCACCCGTATGTTTTTGAGGACACTAGGCTAATGTGTACAAATAAACGAGTGAATTTTGTTTTTTTTTTTGACTAGTGATGGTCCACTTCAACTTTAGTTAATTATTCGTATAGATAGAGAATATCAACATAATAAAGTAAACATAATCTTATTTTTTATTTTTATTTTTTTTGAAACTAAAGTTCAAATTCATTGTCTAGATCGAACGAAGTTCGAGGTCAATAATTTAGTACGTGCGCATATCCAGATTCTCATGAAGTTATCTCATACCTGTATGTGTCGATCATTGAGGTTGTATTGATATTTTTTCTTTTTTCTTTTACTTCGAGTATGTCTATATCAAGAATATTTTTTTTAGGATAATGCGATTCTCTGTTTCTCTCTTCTTCTTTCTTCTAGCTATGTATACTCTAACCAACTAACTCATTAACTTAAAATAAGAGCAACATGGTCACCAATGAATAACCCATATCGAGACAGACGTATACACTTTCTTTTTCTCTCTCTGAGAATAAACCAGACACGAGAGACTCTATACTCCTACCTTTTGCTTTTTTTCTCTCTCCCTCTCTTCTGTTTGATGTCTGCCTTCCTACATATGGCCTAGTTTCGAGCCCATCAAACGAGAAAAAAATCATAAATGTATATATAAGAGTGTGTGTGTGTATATATGTATGCAAGTGAGAAAAAAATACCAGATTGGTCAATTCGTTTTTCTTACAAACCAATCATTGAATTTTGTTTTACATCATGTCAGAAACTGTGTGCATATGTTATCGACGTAATTTACAAAAAAGAATGGAAAAAGTAAAAAAATGATGTAAGATGTATTTTAAAAAACTAAATGAACACCAACAATTATCGATTATTAAGTGAGAAAGAACCTGTTAGAGTAGTGTTAAAGCCAAGAAAAATTTGTGGAAAGTGTTCAGCCCTCGTTTGAAGCTAAAAGCAAATATTTTCTTTGCTGATAATGCAGGATCGTTTCATTTCTAGGAGAAGCTTAAAGGTTAGTCAACTCTTAGTTCTGCCACTATCACACGGAAAGGTCTTTTACTATTTTTTATTGATTGATATCCTTTATAATTCCTAACAGTATATCTATGAGAAAATAATGTTAAGATAGAAAACTTTTAAAATCTTTGATTTAGTACTTCCAATAATATCATTCAATAAGGTCCGGAGAGACATTAACTCAAAATCATTTAAATTACCTTTTTTTTTATCTCGATTTGTTTCCTTTAAATTTTACACCAACAATACTCTCTTATTCTGGTGTAATCAAAAGATCGTAAGTGGTAGAGCGGAGTACGATCTAATTAGCTCACCCTTGGTTACGCTACCTGTCTCTTGTTATAGTTTGTGAAAAGTCTGAATAGAAATTAGAATTGTAAAATTGAACGAGCAATTGCTTGAAGATAATGAACACATCAAATGTTTGAATTTTGATCAAAATCAATACTATCATAGGAGATTTCAATTGATTTGACACATTTTTAAAGAAGAAAACCATTTACATTAAAGTGTAAAAATTAACTTCTCTTCTTTATCCTTTTTTTTTTTTTTTTTTATTCTTATCCACCTATATTATTTATTATATTCTTCTTACTTCATTCGTTCATGTGTTTAATAGACAACATGAAGTTGTCAACGTTATCGAGTCGATTAAATTGTCACCTGACTTTTTTCAACTATCGTTATTTGCACAAGGCAATCGAGCTCATTTTCTTTGTACTTATATTACTTACTACTTCTTCTTTCTCTTCTTCGCTTTTTCTATATGTATATCAATTGAATTCAATGGTGCGCGTACGCTTGCTTATATTTGTGTTAAGTGACACCTCGGTGTAAGAATAGAAAGAGTACCCAGTAAGATTATCATTTATGGTTGGGGAATAGATGCAATATTGGACACGAGTACATCAGACAATTGTCTCTTACTTTCACTCTCTTGTGTCCGATCAATGGATTCGATAAGCTTAACAGACAACTACAATTTGAACTAAAGTAATTGTTTGAGACAAACTACTATTATTTTAATACATGCATCTATTTTACATATGTTTAATATCATTCAGATGAATATCATTCAATTATTTAGTTTCATTTTTTTTTTATTAATATATATCTATTTCAGTAAGGTTTATGTATGACTTTATTTATTGTTTTGTTAAATTGATAACAAAGATTTTTAATCAAACGAGAAAAATGTTTTTCAATTTCAGGTAATTCTATAACTAATAAAATAGTAGGTGAGTCAGAATAAATGGTCATGTTTTGTATATTATTTTTTCATTAATTAATAAGTAAAATATACTACCAGATGCAATGTAAAAAGCTCTACAATTTACCATACAAAGTTTAGTTTATACATGTACCTTTAGTTTTCAAAATAGATGAAATTCTGCATGATCGAATTTGGGGGCTACGAAAAAGTTCTTGTTTTTTGGTATAGGACAAAGTCATTTGCGTATTTCTTCGATTCTATATTTTTTACTCACTCGGATCCTATTTCTTAGAGGAAGGTACAAACTTCACCATAACAAGCCACCTCTCTCTAAGTATGTTAGTTTAGAAAAAGAAATAAGATCCGAAGACCTATGAACAGTCGTTATGTGAATGATTGATGATGACATGACATTGATTCAAATTGCTAAATAATTATGTAATGTAGTCAATAGAATAAAGTTAGAAACTTTGTTCAACCAGAGTTTTTTCCATTTTGAAAACTACAAATGCATATATATGTATAATATAAACGCCATTTATTCTGATACACCCGTTACGTGAAGAGTCTTACTATTTATCTTAACAGCTGCTTAAATCAAAGAAAATAGCTCTCTGGTGATCTACATTCTGTGCGTGTATCATGTATGTATCCGGTATGCATTTGAACGATATCATTGTCTATGAATTTATCAAAGGAGAAAAAGTTGATTTATGGATTAATTGTTGTCATGTTTAATCTATTGTTTCTGTTACAAACGAACAAAACCAGATATGATCATCACGAAACATTCAATTTGATACTTAGATCATTTATAAACAAAACATCGATCACTTATATATACGTATATACCAAAGACATTCCTAATGTCAATTTAATCTAAACTGACTTTGTTTTGCTTTTTTTTAAATACAATTTTATATTTTTATTTTATTAAATTCAACTAATTTTAAATCAATAGAATATATTTTTGAAATGATCTACAGACAAATAAAATTATTATCTATTGTTCAATTTTAAGCATATAATACGAATTAGAGAGAAATTTGATGTTTCATGGCATTGCTAACAATAAAATCTTTATTAGCAAACATTCACCTACTTTGAACTTGAAATTTGTTTTTGCAGCCCTAAATCCTATGTTAACTTCTTTTAAATGAGCATAAATGTATGTTTTTATCATTTTTAGCTAGCGCACTAAAACTACTATTAATTGTTTGTTATAACTGTACGTAGCAGGAAAAACAATGAGATCACAACAGCATCTTACATGAATGAAAAGAAAAATGATCTGAATGACTTTTACAGTACTGTTCATCAAATTCAGATTTATCGAGGTCGAAATAGTAATACAACACTTTATGAAATGCAGCAAAGTTTTAGATTCTGTTGAAAACTTTTTGAATTCATAACTATTCAAATAAAGGAAGATAAACAACATAGAGAATGGCTTTTAATCATTGCAAAACTTGTAAAGGAGTTTATATTCAGAAACTTTTTTTCTACTTTGTAGTAAAATATATGACATCTTCCATAGATGAACACTTTTCACAAGTGTCGACTTTGTTCATTTAAGAGAAGTTTTACTATATATCAATCTTTTTCGATTATTGAAATATAGATATTAATATCAAGCAAGCAATAATTAATTGTACGTTCGATAAAAGCGTGATTCTCTTTCATGTCCTACCTATCTCAGTTTATAAGCAGATGATATAATCGGGCATAGCATAGTGTGAGAATGAGAGCGACATGTGAACAATGACGATGTACCCCATGGAATGGATAAGTAGAGGATTTCGTTGGAAAATGGTAACTGAATGTCGACATTCATCTTTTTGATTGATAGAAATGCTAGAAAAACACTAAAAAAATATCCATTTTGAAATAGTGAAAACTTCAATAGGCAACTTCGTACACAACTAGAACGATTTGCTAGACATTCGTATTGACACTCTTTAACACCATACATATGTTTTTTTATTGATGCAAATCTCTAAGATTTGTTGTATTGATAGTTCATCATAGTAAAACCACTTTTTATTAGAAAATCATTCTTTAAACAGTTGTCAATTAACCAAAAAGAATATATTATCTTTTATAAACGTTTTCTATTTTATACAGCTGAAACGTTTATAAACGTAATAAACAGCAGTTATGTGTCTTTGCATTAATCTTATTAAGCTGTTACATGTTATTGATGCACTTTAGTCATATAGAGACAACAAAATTCAGTCTCATAAATCATTATCTATTG